TGTACTTCACAAAGAAAGAGCATTCAGGCAACACCACGTTTCAGTTCCTGACACCATCACAAGGCCACACGCTGACCTTGCTCCTCGGGCGTTTGCAGACAGCAAACCGGAGTCCTGGACACCCTCCTAGTTTTCCAACTTTTGATATTTACTGGCTCAATGACAAGATTCCAGTAAAGACTATCTATGGACACAATGGGGGTATGCTTCTGAAAAACAAGCTCATGGTCGTCCCTGTCTCACTGTGGACTCGCTCTATTTCACCCTAATAAAAATAAAACACAGTACAAAACCCCCCAAAACTTACAGAAGTATTGGAGGTGGGGGTGGGGTGGATTCTCAAGGGAAAAAAAGTTAAGAATGAGACTGTCAAGAATTTTTTCCCTTTTCTTAATATGTCTATGTAAGATAGGTAGGATAAATGATCCTGAGGAGAAAACAACGGGATCGACGGTTCCGGGGGTCACAGGATAGGGGACGGCGGGGGGAAAAGGGAGAGCCAACAAACTCAGGGACAAGGGAGTAAAAGAGATCTAAAAATCGATGACAAGGAGGGTGTAGAATGCCTGGCAGGGTTGGGTCAAGTGCAATGTAGCTAAGAGGAATTACTGGGATCCGAATGAAGGTTGAACATGATAGCAGCACAGGAGGAAAAGAGAAGAGAAGAAAGAACTAAGAGGCAAAAGATAAGGTATAAATATAGGCAAGTATCTATGCAAATATATTAACATATAACCACAGGGATATAGGCCTATATACATATATTTATACGTAAAGTATTAAGGTAGCAGATGGACATCGGGCCTCTATTCAAGCTCTCCCCCAATGCAATGTTCTAATGACCTGGCATGCTGTGATGCCCACCTTCTCAACACGATTGCTTAAGACAAAGGGGCTGCATAATCAAATATAGTGAAGAAAGGTAATGGTGCCCGGTTATTAGACGTTATTGGGTTTAGAGTCTTAATAGTTTGAAGTTTAATATCGGACACCTAGCAGGGAAGCAATAAAGCCCACACGGAAGAAGCACCCAGCATGTGTGTGATCACAAGGTGTTGATGAGATCAGGTAGCAGAAGATCCAAAACAATTATATTGATGCAAATGAGGAGGGTCGGGGTAGAGACCCAAAGCCCATTTGTAGACAATTGGACACCCCCTCACAGAAGGGTCACCAAGGAAGGGATGAGTCAGCCAGGGTGCAGTATAGCACTGCATACAACATTCCTTCAGTTCTTTAATATCCTTCCCCTCCCCACCATCATGACCCCAGTTTACCTCACAAACCCGGCTGGACTGGAGTACATACATGGTACAGAAGAGCTCTCGACACACAGAATCCAGGACAGATAAAACCCTCAGGAACAGTAATGGGAGTATTGATGCCAGGAGGGTAGGGGGAAGGTGGTGGGGAGAAGGGAGAACTGATCGCAACGATCGATGTTTACCCCAGCCCCCAGGGGATAAATAACAGAAATGTGAGTGAGGGGCAACAGCAGACAGTATAAGACATGAAAATAACAATTTATAATTTATCAAGAGTTCATGAGGGCTCAATAAAATAAACGTCTAGAAAATGATGGCAACATATGTACAATTGTGCTTGATACAACTAACGTGTAGGTTGTTATAAGAGCTGTAAAAGTCCCCAGTAAAATGATCTTTAAATAAAAAATCAAACTGCCAATAAAATAACTAATCTCTTCTCTTTGGAAAAAAAGAAAAAAAGAGTTCATGAGGGTGGGAGCGTGAGGAGAAAAAAGAGGAGCTGATACCAATGGCTCAAGTAGAAAGAAAATACAGTGAACCCTCGCCACTTCGCACTTCGACTTCCGCGGCTTCACTCTATCGCGGTTTTTGCGTAACAGCGCATGCTCTGTCATTACTGCCACTGATTGGCTCATACTGTACACGCTTCTG